ACACCAACCAAACAAAAAACAAAACAAAACTGAATAAGAGTATGTATTAGCCTGTCACCCACTTTACCTAGTTTATTGTCACTGCATATCCTTATTTTTGGAGACAGAGAGAGAGAGAGACTTGTAATTGCACCCAGAGTCTTGCACACACCAGGCAAACACTCTACCACTAAGCTTTATCTCCAGGCCCCTAGTTAATTCTCTCCTCCCCTCCCTTCTTTGGTGATGACTTCTTGCCTGGCTTCTGGTTTACTGACAAGGCTTTAGTCCCAGATCCATTTGTCCCAGAGTGTTAGAGTGGGGACTACTTGATATTCCATGGCCAGCTACATCTTGAAGGAGGAGCCTCCCTATTCTCCATAAGAATTTTTTTAAACTAAGGAAGATTTTAGACTCCTCCCTAACCTCTCCTTGGTTATAGGGGTGAATGGACAGGATGGTAAGATAGGTCAAGGATGTTGGCTGCCAAGAGGCTTAGGAATGTGCTAGTAATTATTATAAATGGACCCCACTCAGTGAAGTGCCTGCATGCTGTATGAATGTATGCAGGGGTGGAAGGTGCTGGGACATTTGCAAACGAGAGAGAATACTTTGTTTTACCTATTTAATCATATAGTTTATTAACTGATACATATTTAGCCAAAGGTTGGGGGTCAAACCCGCAGCTTACAGCTAGTTCTTAGTTCTTTATTTTTCAAAGACTAATCTATAGTCCTCACTTTACCCTCCACCAAGTGTAACTTTTAAATTCTTCCTTTTACACATTCCATGTACAAAGTGAAAAACCAACCCCCAAGACCATGACTGTTCTCTATTAGTGACAAAATATATTTCCTTATCACCTTGTCAAGGACAAGGTCTCCAGTGTATGTCTGCCACCCTTGGCCCTCGGTTTGCAGCTGACCTTTGCGAATGTATTCTCCAAACTCAGCGAGGGCTGTGGTGTTGGATTTCTCAGGGCTGAAAGACACTGTGGGAATCTGGATGGCACCTGTCAAGATTCAGCAGTCAAAGGATTAAAGTTGACAGAGGTTGCATGTTTCTAATAAAGAAATCTGAAACCATAGCTGAATGTGGCAGGCCACACCTGTAATTCCAGCTCCTTGGAGGAGCAGGAAACGGTTTCAACGAAGAAAAAACCAAAAATGAATGAATGAATAAATAAATAAAATTGAAATTTAAACCTTTTGAGGGTCAGCGTGACATTAAGAAGATTTGAATTTTAGAGTACTTGGGCTTTGTTGATGCTTTTAAGCCATGCTGTTGCTATGAGGTCTCTTGGCAAACTTTTGTTTTCTTCTGTGCAAAGGGACTCAGCTACAACCTACAGGCTTGCAGAGGTCTATTGCGTCATGCTCTGGGAAAACTCTTCCCAGCTCCTCACTCCATGATATGCACAAACTATCTCCCACTAGAGGTTAGCATTTGGACCCTGTGTTGGCCTGCAAATGTTTGCATAGGCAGTTTTTATTGATCCACTACTCAATGAACGGAAAAGAGGAGTTGAGCCCAGTGGTCACAACGCATGCCATGAACCTACAAATATGCTCTTCTTTCTTCTGAAAGGCGCAGACTTAAGCCAATGAGTTAGTTGCCTTGTTAAGTCCTCGTTTAAGGGGGGAGCTAATTACATATTCCACCCGAGGAACAATATATTCTCCGCTGACTCTAAAACAGCACTGAGAGCCCAGTCCTTGCTGGAATCCTGGGGAAGATCATTTAAACCAAGCAAATCAGTTTTGTTTTCATGCACCGCAGAGATATAAAAAGTCAAAAGATATAAAAGGTTCAAAGTACTACAAATACTGTTGGAGGCAGGTAGGGGCAGGGTGGATGCGGGCTATGCTGAGAAAGTGGAGCCTTCAGGATAGGCAAGGGAACACGGACTCGAATGGTGTGCTAGATCAGTTGCACGGTGTCCCGAAGGCGTGCGGGAACGCTGGAACTCTGGCCTGATCAGAGAGCAGTCCCAACGCAGACGGAGACAGTCCCGGGCTGACGGGGAACTGAGGGACCCACATCTGAGCACAAGAGGGCGGAGGTTCACCTTTCAGCGCCTCTTTAATAGCCATGCACTCCTCCTCGCTGAACTGGGAAGGGATCCTCGGCGCCCCCCGAATTTCTCTGCTCCTAGAGTCGGTGGATCCGGAGACGCAGGCGAGAAAGAGCAGGAGTGCAGTTACCTGGGCCGGCAAGTTAGCAACCCGCCCAGCCATGTTTGTCGGGAGGCACTGTCAATCTGGCTGCAGTTTGGACCTAGAAGCCTATTGCCTGAATCGCCGCTGACCAATCATCGCTTGGCCTGGATGGCAGCCAGCCAACCAACAGAACGACCCGCCCCTGCCCCAGGAGGCCTCTTTAGGGGTGTGTGGTTTCGCTTGAGAGTAGAGTCAGCAAGCAAACTGAAAGATCTGGGCTTGCCCTCTCTTTATCTGCTTTGAGATACTGCAAATGATTCATTTGCTGTATGAGAGAAAACTCGTTAAGTGTGTGTGTAATTTTTGACTCCTAGTCCCTAGGTTCTGTGGAGGAACTCAGTGAGTTACAGCTTTAATTTCACCGAAAACTGCAACAGAATGGCTGTTGATAGGTAGTGCTTTGACATACCAGCTCCATAGACTTTGCTCCTGTTTTGAACCCTTTCTTAGCATAACCATACACCATAATGTGAAAAGAATGGAATCTACTTGTAGCGGAGAGGTGATCTTGCGTCTTTCTTAAGGGCTAATCCAATACTACAGGTTCCCAAAGCTTTGAGATTTAAGCTTGCCTGCACTGGGGTTTTCCTTTTAAACGCTAACGAATGGTCCCCAAGTTTCTGTTTGAGTATATTCTTTGTCCTCAAGCTTCCATTCGTGATGGCTCTTAAATTCTTTTATTAAAGACACCAAGAACCCCAAGAGGAGACTGGAAAATTTTCAGGTATAATACGATGCCGCTGCTGGGACTCTGAACATTTTCTGGTAACAGGTCTTTCCTTTCTTTTAATTCTTTAATTGACAGAGAAAATGAAACCCAGTCCTGTGCCCCTAGACAGCATCAGATATGTTTCATTATGACATTTTATACATGTATGTAGAATGTTTTTTAAATCAAATTTACTCCCAACATCCTCTCTTGTCTCCCTCTCACACCCACTGATCACCTTGTTGTTCCAACTAATCTCCCTCTGTTATGTGTGCATGCGTGTGTGTGCATGTGTGTGTGTGTGTGTGTGTGTGTGTGTGTGTGTGT